TATATAATGATAACATTATCACAATTGTCGCAGCAACAACTCGAAGGGGCAATGTTTGCTCAGGTGAGCAATTGGGATCATTCAACTTAGCCCGACTTGCTCTGACTCGTACATCCGGGTGACCGTCGAATAATGCCAGCTTGCTAGTTCTGTGCTATCTCTATCTATCACTGGCATATTACGAGCGCGGCTTCTATAATGGTTCGATTTTCTCTTTTGTCTTCCTGCTTCGGTGCAAAGTAAAGCGAGCTTAACGGTTGTATCCATCATTCCTCAGAAGCAAGCATCTATTCATCGTCCGGCCTATGCTACAGCTGTTGGCTGAGTCCAGACGTAGCTGGATGCTCCTATAAATGCAGAAGAAAGCTTCGCTTCAATGAATAGCATACAAACACTGGACAGTTAAGTATCGTCGTCCTGTTTACTATGGGTAACGATAAGATAAGAGGCATATATACATACACATCTATGTATATGATACTACAGAGGGACTTTAAAGTAACTTTAGCGCGCTCATTCATAAATACGGCTGACGGATGCGGCACAGCGTTGGTGTCTGTTTAGCCAGCAAGTTACTTAATCACTTAACTATATTTCATCACCTACTGAGCACGTCATCGCCGCCGCAGACAAAAAACATGGCATTCGTTGAATAATGAAACGAACTACAATTTAAGGACGAGTTAAGGTGGTGAACAGCGGCGGAAGGCTATTGCATATTTATGCGTGTTTTTTTCTGTGTAGCCATTTTGTATTTGCTTGGAGCTGTAACCCGCGATCGGTTTCGAAATAATGACGCCGCACTCGACTAGCTGTGCCGTTTCGAAATAATAATTGACGAAGGTTTTAGTATATAGCATCGGTTCGAGGCAGCGATAAGCGTTTGTTCACTCTATTGACAAGTTGTCGCCATACAATCGAATGAATAGATCGGATCGTCAAAGAAGACTGCTGTTGTTAACGCTGCTGCTGGGCCTTCGAATAGCACAAGTAGGATCGTTGATTAGTCGGGCTACCAGTGACAAATAGCATTTCCACTTTGTGGTTACTCTACGCGTGGTTGCATGTCCCTGTGCATCTCGTACAGTCATACTTGTATATCTGCTTCGTCGACGCTACATCCCCTGACTGCGAGTAACGCAGCGTGATCGTTCCGTCATCAGACGTCTCTTATGTATTTTCGTCCTCTAGCTTCCTAAGGACCTGTGTGATGAATATTTCCTTTGAGATGGAACTTCAGTAGAGTACTTTTTTTTGTTTTGTTCGCTATAAGAAATGTTATGAGAGAAGTGTTTCTCATTATTAACTGGTAGTGCGGAACCAAATATGCCCAATTTTCAATACGATACATGTCAAATGGATCAGCGACGGAGAAGTGTCTTATACTATTGCGCCTATATCGACCGTGCAGCTTGAGTTACGGTCGAATACTGATAGTATCACTACTAACAATGGCCAGAACAGCAATCATTTTTTGTCACCCCAATAATTGACGTTATATACTTTTATCGACCGTCTCCTTGTATGCAAAAATCGTCATATTTGGGCAGGTGTTATTTGGATTTGTGGCTGTCCTCCTAAATAGAGAAGCGCATGAAGTCACCTGCCGGTAATGCTTTCAGACTACCAGGTCATTTGTTTTTCATCATAGCTCTGAGACGGTAGGGCATGCACATAAGTTCTGTAACTAGTAAACTTTTCGATAAGTTCGTTTCCGGCTTCGTTTAATATTCGGTAAGTGTGTCTTCTCGTTCGTATGGTCTCCACAGAAACGTTAGCCTAATTGCAAGTCGCCATTGGCCAAAGCTGTATTAAATAGTGATGCACGTAATCGGGTATCTCAGATTAATAAGCGAACCTCAAACCATGATTCATACCTAGTAACTTCAAACGTCAAAACACGGAACGAAATTCTTCGCCCCGCCTTGCCGATAACACAATTGTACTCCTACAAAGCCCCGCTACAGTCGTTCGTTAACGCCGCTTTCATCCGGAATAAATCCTGAATTAACTTTATAACAGAAGCGTAGATTATAGGCACGCATCCGTTGTACCTGATCGTGTTGGCACGAACGCACTGAAGGTTGTTTTGCCCATCATCCCCGATCATCGCATTTCACCGAACCGCAATAACAAATCGGTCTATGATAGCGCCTTGTCTGTTTCGTCTTAGCTTATTTGCAACATTTCAAACCTGTACGTGTTTAGCCATCGCCCCGTACGCTTCACTCATCTAGGCTAGGTTTTCTTCAATTGTAGAATTAGAATTTATTGCTTTCTTTCAGCCATTTGCTGTCTGTTGGGTCAGCTTAATTCGGCTCGACATCGTTCGGATCCTTCAGCTGCGCGTCACCGCTCGTCACTTAGCTTAGCATTGTTTCAATACGTGAATCGTGCTCGCGCTCGTGCGATGATTTTACGACACGATAATTCTTCATCCTTTCTTCTGCTGGGGGTTTGCGAACGACAGGTCCTGTCTGCTGTTGCTGCCGCTCGAGATTCGCCGTGTCGCGCCGTTTTAGCCGCTTCGTCCGTACAGGCGCTAATCAGCTTTTATCGGAATTCAATCGCGTTTTGGATTGTTCTCCTGTTGTTGTTTTCGTCGTCGAGAAACAAATCAAAGTAGTTTCTTCATTGGTCCCCGCCGCACTCACTGTCGCCGTTGGAGTCGTTCCTTTAAAATCAATTTTGAGCGAACAATGACTTCTTGACCGTTGGCGGCGGCGCGGTCAAGTCGTCCTGATCAGCGACAACCATCAGCTCTTCGATGCAGGTTTCCATCGCGGCGTGAGGCGACACGACTCATCCTGGCCCGTCTGTTGACGCACAATCTAAAAGTAAAACGGCCAGAGTCAACGGACCTGGACTGCATCGATAGAGAAAACGCACGATCCCACAATGATATGTATATATCTAGTTTGAGGTAGAATAGAGGTCGTAGCGGCGACGACGATGGTAGCGACCGTGGCAGTTGGGAGCACAACGACAAACGCAGTAGTAAAAAGAGACGACCTGATATGAAAAGAAGAACGTTGCTGCGTGTGCTTGTTCGTTCGCTCATCGTGCCTTCGTTATGTGTCGTACTTTTTGGAGTTTAGATCGGCTCCGATTGGCTTTACTATACCGTTCTGTCGTTGACCTGGACGACGACGACGACGACGACGCAGTTGCTCGTTGCAAATTCTATGGAATCGCTACTGCAATTATCCACCACTACCTCAATGAGATGTAATTACGACAGCCGCTGTGAACGACTTGACAGCCACGTTGTTGTTGTTCAGGACAATGGTCAATATGGTCGAGTGTTTATCGGTGCGTTTACCTATATGGATATCGAGATAGATAGGCAGAAACACAAACGTTGTGTACTACATATGACATCTCTAGTTTGTACTGCAAAGCAAAGTTCGCGGTGAGCACTAGGGGGAAGGGGGTGAAGGGGACTGTACGCAACGTCAAGATAAATTGTCGAGCGAAAATGTCGGCGGGGGCTCGCGTACCAATCATACTTTTAACGGGTACATACGTACAGACAGAAATAATAAATAAAATATGAAAGAATCGTTCTAGGCAGACCAATGATGACCAGCTTACCTAAACTATAGAAGTGCCGTTGCTCATGTACTAAGCATCACGAAGATAGATAGCCAATTAGCCGCACGCGACGACGGCACTCCATAGCGGTGCAATGTTCATGATGCATTTCGAAAACCATTATTAGTCAGTTGTAAATAGGTCGATTCAGGTGTTCGTACAATAGATGGTACAGTAGAAAAAAGAGTTCAACAAACTGTTACCGGGTCGTCATCTGTGTGGTCATTCAGGCTGTTGTTCGGTCTGCCGATGCTCGCCACAGCAGTCGCTGCTAAAATGTAAATATCGTGTCTTTCTTTGGTACGTACAATCATGCGGCCGTTGACAAAACAAGACTATGCCAACGATAGTGTCGGCAACGCCTCCATCAGCTACAGGGAACTTGTTTTCGATTGACAGGTGTGCTCTGCTATTACTGGTGCTCGGAGACGAGAAGATCAAGACAGACAAAGGCTATGAGTCTGCGATGAAACACTTATAGTGACACTGTCCCTGATTCCGATACTGCAACGGTTGCTGATCCTATAATCGCCGTGTTGTTGACAATGTCGCTTGACATCCCCAGAACTTCGTTATATATATATATATATATATATATATATATATATATATATATACATACACATGCATATATGTATCGAAAACGAAAGAAGAGAAGCGGTAAAGGGAGAAGGACTGCTTTTGGTATTACATAGTATCTATGTTTGATACTGTAAACGCACTCATTTGGCAAAGATTAGAGTTCCTATTGTTTTTTACGTGTTTTACTTATAGTCGTTAAAAAAACCGTGTGAACTGTAGACGGTGTCAGAGTTAATCGATTTGGCATTTTTTAGCAAATGCCAGCCAAGCTACAGATACTAATCAGAATTTTCTGTGTGCGAATTCGTATCTGTTTGTTCCTATTGCAGGAGGAATTTGTTGGCTTTGCCAAAGATGGAAGCATCCTCTCTTCGGAGGATCCTGGAGGGGGACGAAGGCCTAAAAAAAGGTAAATCGCGCGTACTACATTTGTATACTCCATAGTCGGCGTCGTCCTGTCAAACCTAACTGTAAAGCTTCGCAAACACCGAGGAAAGACAGACAACTAGTAAAGACTTCATACCCCAAATGACTATTTTCCTGTGTGAATTTAACGACGCATTATCTCCTAGTATTTTATTAAAATTAACGTATCATGTGCATTATACAAAAATCACATTTCGTTATTAGCGTTCTGTCCCGTGTGACTTCTCCTTGCAGAAAGGGTACGCCGTTGGAAGTTAACAGGCTTGAGCCTAAACGGCCTGCGGTGGAATTGCCTCAAAACACGGCGATAGTGTCCTCACGGGAAAGACACGCCTCAAATATAGACGATTCGGCTGCGAAGCACAGCAACAACGTTGATGAAGAACGCTCCGTTAGGATTCCGCAGGAACGAGGCCATAGTAACGCCAGCCACGTGAATACTGGCAAGGAATCTGCAACTTCGATGAATCAGGAGTCATCTAAGGACACTTTCAAGGTGAGTTGCCGAGTAAACCGACCTCAAGAGAACAAGGAACAGCATAAGACCGCCAAGGACAATCGGGGTGTTGAGAAAGAAGGGCCACGAAGTCGAGATCGAAGTCATCACGAACGCGACGCAAAGGTCAAGGAACGTTCCGCCCAGGAGGGCAAAGACGTCAAGATGAAGGACCGACGAGACAGCAGCAGTCAGGGTGGCCACGAGTCGAGATCTTTAAGACACAGCCGAGATGGACCAGAAGACGATCCCAGCCAGGACGAGGTGCGCAAAATGGCGTCCCTCTACACAGACGAGCTCCTCGATTCTGATAGGAGCAGTAAGCATAAAAGGAACACCAAAAGGTTAGTAACATCAGCACGGTGTAACTGGCTGGTGATTCAACACCGTTATGGTTTATTTCTTTCAAATGTATAGTGTCAGATAGATATTACCTCGAGAAAGCAAAGTTCTACATTCCTATAAGGTTCAACCTTGAAATAGTTAGTTCCTTGTTACTTTAAAAACGGCCCGCATAGCTACAATAGTGATACTGTCTCTTCTTGTATATTTTTGCTCTGGTCCAGTCGGTAATACTTCGATAAAGCGAATCTGTCGATTCGTTGATTTCTTGCCAAAGAAAATAGATTGCCGTTTCTGTGTTTAGGGAAGGTTCTTCTCCCTTTGTTATGCTTTGCTACACGCAGGCTGAAGCTTGTTGGCTACTAATTACGAAAGCCAAAGACAATCATCGAACTTACGATAATTATGGAGCTGTAACGTCGCGGCGTACTTCTTAATCCTTCCACGACCCGCTCAGGGTGGACGCGCATTTTTCCTATCTATTTCATAACCGTAAACAAAACTCATAAAAATTCAAATTAGTCTTTCCAATTCCAAGTATTGCGTACCGTACGACTGGCCTTCGTCGGCAAGACGTCCACTACTGAATAATTACAGCCAGCTCATGTTAGCCAACGCATAGTTGTTTCCTGTTGATGATATAATATTTGTAAAGCGTTTTTATACCGTAATAGTCGAATTGATATATATTGAGGCCCAATTACGATCAAGACGTTATATGTGTGTGTTTGTGCGAGACATACAGTAGAAGAGTATTGATCGTTTTTCTGGTTAGACGGCTTTAAGATCTCGGATAATAGTTGTCGCATCAGTGTTGGTGTCATTTGAAAGTTGAAATTTGGCGGTAACAGACATGCTAAAATTACTGCAACGTTTTCATTTAAACCTAAGATAGAGCTCTTTAAATATGAGTGGAACTTCAGCAAAAATTCACTATATTTTATAACTGAATAATATAGCAATAAAGGCACAAATGCTATCTAGGTCCATGGAGTTTCTGCAAGTTACGATCAAGACGTTATCGGAAAAGAATTGCCGAAAGGTCATTGTGTTGCTTTCGTTCTGAAAGTTGCCATGTTAAAATGTTCTTCGTGGTCGTCGACGAAATTGTTAGCGGTGACCAAGACCGATATGTGATTAATATTGAACTATATATCCATCGCCAACTTTTTTTTTGAAAGCTGGCTACAAAGAAATATGTTGAGCGTGCCTGCGAAGCTCTGCAGACGCGACAAAAACAAGCCATTTCTAAAGCGCTTGATCATAGGCGACAAAGAGAAGATCACACGACGATAACTTACAAATGGAAACGTGTGTAGTTCACAGTACGCGCCAGAATAAACGAAACAGTGTGCATAATGCTATCGGTATCATGAACTGTTCCTGTCGCCGTTGCCTGCAAGACAATTGATTAAAAACCCTACGGTCAACAACTAACAAAGTTACAATAAGCCATTGAAAAATATGTACCAGGACAGCTATCGAACAGAAAGGCGTCTGGCACGATAATCCTCAACGATGTCATAGCGGTTGAGACAACTGGGGTGGGAAATTCTGACGCATATAGCCCAGATCTTGCTTGATCACATCAAACTATCGTCTGCTTCGATCTTTGCAGAAGTCCCTTAATAGTGTTAATTTAGTTTCAATGGAGGAATACAAAAATAATTTGCCGCCGTTTTCGCCCAGAAACTATAGAAGTTGTACAGTGATTAATGTATACTGCTGCCAGAAAATAGCTAACGATTTTCGATAAATTGAAGCATGTCTATCTAACGAACATAATTCTTGAATAAAAATAATACTTGCTTCAAATTTGGCCTAAAATCGTCAGTACTTCTTCGACAACCAAATATATGTGTATAGACGTTTGTGTGTATGTGTACGAGCAACGATCCTCCATTAATGGAAAAAATGTATACACGTCGTGCAAAGCGTCTGCTTCTGTAGAGCCACCACTGTTTTTCCTGTGTCGAATCGTGTCTCCCGTTTTTGCGTTTCTCGAACGCGAAAGCGCTGAATAGCGTCAAACTCTAGAAGGACGATAACGTACAACCGTGCTGCTTTACCTTAGAATCGTCTTTGGCAGTGTTCTATGGATGTCTAAATAGGGGATGACGACGTCCTTTGCTTGCCGTTGTTGTTGTTCCTGTTAGCGACTTCAACGACTTAAGCGGCTTAGGCTTAAGCGGGCATGTTTGCGACAGTGACAACTTCCGCGAATTCGAATTTCTGTTGTTTTTTTCTGCAGTCATTAAGCTGGCAAACGCGCTACCGCCTTTGCTAATGCCGCTTGCTCTTCTCGAGCAAACGGCCGACGACGAAAACAAACCTGTGACGGCTATTTCTGGTTTCCTTGTGGTTCGCTATCTGTCTGTGCGCGTGTATATGTATATGTCTGCACGCAGCAACAATGCGCGTACTATCCTCACGATAGACCGCTCGATCATTTGCCGTTGCCGTCGATCCAGTCGCGCGCTTTGTTGTTTGGAAAACTGGCGGTGCTACTGAAGTTCAAATAATAATAATTGTCGTGTCGCCTACCTACATAGAAGCCGCTGATGATGTCTTTTTTTCCGCTGGTACTGTCGTGGCCGACAAGGTACGTACGTGCAGTGATAGGCCGCATTCAGCGTCCGTATTATCATCATGTTGCCTAGTGCTTGGCCGTTCGTGGCAGAACAGCTGCTGCTGGCGGCGCGGTAACCGCTGAAAATTAGTACCTCTAATTGTATTGTACCTATTTCGGTGTTGCTTCTCGGAGGAAACCGTTCAGCAGTGATGCGGTATTACGTAGTATCCTGTTGTTATTATTGTTGTCGTTGCCAGTTAGCTTGATTGCTAATTGTGCGCAGTGTTTCCTAGACCGCATGGATTTCCCGACCGACCGGCCTTCCGGGACAGCTGGTTGCATTGATCTGTTCTGTTCTGTTGCTTACTTAGCGCACCGAATAGCGAGCCGATGTAGAGCCGATTTGTAACGCTTAGCGTCACCTTGGAGGCCTTGGGTACTTTACGGATAACATCAGTGTGTCTGCATAAATATTGTAAATATATTAGAAGATTTATTTTGTATTTGGCAGTAGTCAGGGAGCTTACGTTTCTCACGCAACTACGCCCGAAGCAGCGATCTGGCGTAAGCGAATCGTTGCGCCCATCTAAAGTATTACGGGTCCTATAAGTTCATCGAATGATTTTGTTCAGTAATGACATAAATATAGCGTTAGTGAAACATGATGATAAATAAAGTTAATTGGAATTTATCTAACGAATAGTGTATATATACAAGTCCATAAATACGGGTTTAGCGTAGGCGCTAGTATGTAAAACAGAAAACAGCTACAGATAGTAGTGCGTTCTATAGATGTTTATTGTGTGTCTGTAATAAAGGCATCTGACAGCGTGGTAGAGACCTTCGTATTCTGATTGAATGGTTGATTCTTATATAAAGTTAGATATATATATATATATATATATATATGATGAACTTGGCCCCGTAAGGGCTTGCACGGAAGCACCCTGTAGGCTTTCTGTGTGAGTCATAGTTGTACGTGGACTGATTTTACTGTTCGTGGGAAAACAACGTATCAGTATCATAGCAGGTTTGCATTGAGATTATACCTGCTACAGTATAACGACAACGGAACTGCCTCACATATAGTAGAACTTTTGGATATGGCTGGCTGAACAGGTCAGTGATTCGAATCAAAGACACGCGAGAATACTTCCGCCTACAAATGTTTTAGAAATTGTTTCCAGTCGCAAACTAAGCAAAAAAACGTCAATTAAATCATTCATGTCGTACACCTTTGACGTTTATAGATGCTAAACATTATCTCATATACCATTTGTCTTAGGTATTTTTTTTGCTCTAACTTCTACTCGATTTTACCTCTTACAGTTTGGCTTCGGAAAAGGACCGCGTTGAAAAGCTATTAAAAGCCCAATGGGAGGCTCGATTGAATCGAAACAAATTGCAACAGCAGCAGCAGCAGCAGCAGACTCCAGCTACGATGGGATCATGCCCCTATCCGCCGGCTGGTTTAAGTAGCAACAATCCTGGGAACTCCAAAACATTTCAGCAAGATGGAAGCAGCAAAGGACTTTTGGGGATGATGCAGACCACCTCAAATTCTGCGAGCCTAACAACTCCAGCAAAAAGTAGTGGCCCTGTTTCGATCAAAGATGTGATGGCAGCTGTCGGAAATACATCGCGTAAAGATACACAAACAAGCCAAACATTCTCTTCATTGGGATCGGTAGCTGTGACACAGAGTCCGGCTTCTGCTGGATCTGGACGCCCCCGAATACATCCTCGACCATTGCTGCGCGAGCCCCGACTATGTCTCGATAAAAAGCAGCGCTGTGTTATCTGTAGCGTCGAAAAAGGCGCTGCTGGTCACCTCTTACAGGAGTACGACCAGCTAATCTGTAAAGTATGCTTCCGTTTTTTCTCCAAGTTTGTTCGTGTTCCTCTTCACCTAAGGTAAGTCTTAGATTTAGCGAATCTGATATAGAATACGAATGTTAGTTGTTTCACTCACATCGGCTCGTAACCTTGCTAGACAGTGGGCTAGGTGCTACGTTTGTCCGAACATGTGCCATATTTACATAGGGCTCACCAGAACAACAATCAACGAATCCAGCATTTGCTATTCAGTGGTTACTGACTATTAAATTATTCGACCCGACTCAATCATTGACATGTGTCCTGTTATATTTATGGCTGTCCCGCGCCTTAATTCTAGGTGTAATGGTGAAACCCTGGGCAACTGCCAGCTCCTCGTGGCGCCGAGGTGCCGCGCTTGCTGGGCGCAATCGTGCGTGCGAAACCTACAATTCGATGGGGCGGTGAAAAGCAAACTTCAGAACTTTCTACATGAAAAGAAGGAGGATCAACTACAGAAGCCGCAAGCGCAGCGGGTGGTACAGCAGCCACTCTATCCAAAGTCGCAACAGTCAGCCGCCGAGAAAAGTCACCATCACTTACAACAGCATCAATACAATAGCGCTCAACACCCACATCAGCATCAACATGGCCAACAACAGCATCAGCCACAGCAACAACAACCAACAGCCCAAAATTTACCTTCTTTACCTCCTGGCATCAGTGCCAACGTTGTTAACGAGCCCCGAGTGACACAGCAGCCAGAATCTCGCATTTCCGGTATTTTCAAGGAGCCTCGGCCTTTTCCGCTTCCTTTGTCGGCAGCTCGACGGGAGCAGGAATTCAGCTTAACGCAGGCATCGCAAAGAAACCTCACTCTTTCGTCAAGGTGCTCGCTGTCAGGGGTTCAAGAGAAGTCAACGAGTGTTCACTCAGCGACGATACCTTCGTCATCGTTACACGCAACGTCTTGTAAAATTATAAGTAGTAGCAGCGGTAATAATAACAGCTGCAATTTTAGTGGAAAAAAGGAATCTATTGTTGTTAACAATATTCAACGCCCAGTCTCGTTCGCTCAATGTTCTACTAACGAGGGCCGAGACCCAGCGACGACGACAACGACGACAACGACGACGACGACAACGACGACGACGACAGCAACAGCAGCAACATCCACAGCCATCGTTGCCGTTAAATTAAAGTCGTCCTCATCGCCAAGAGAGCTACCGAGAGAGAAAGAAGGTGCGAGAGTCAAGCAGGTGTGTCGAAGGGGCCCAGGCGTCAAAAGAAAAGAGTCCGCGGTCGGAACAAGTTTCAGCGTGGGCCATGAAGGAAATTTGGCCACTTCTACATCGTCCTCAATGAAGACAGAAGGACTACCACCCCCGCCGCCGAAGACGGGAGCATCTTCGGTATTTGGCTCTATGACTACGATAGCGACCGAGCGGTCCGCGTTACGGAAGCATCACTTGGTTAACAAGAAGTCGGCAGCTGGAGCAATGGCACCAACGTCTGCGGTGACATCTGCTATGTCGACGATATCCTGCACACTGACAGCTGCAGCAAGCACTGTAGTACAAAGCGAAAGGCATAAAGAGGAGTTTAAGGAACCGCGCCGTGACAATTCGGGCATTGTACTTAGTCGGAAGGTGGGCTCTATAGTTTTGATCCATTCTTGTTTAATAGATCTAGATGTTTTATTGGGTAAAAGTAAATAGATAGTCGCGCGAATGTGATTCATTGAGCTAACTGTAAGTAACCATCCGAATGGAAAGCACGCGTGCGGCTGCGATATTTATAGAGAGGCACTTTTTTGAGTAGCTTCTGCAAGTTATATCTAGTTGGCACTTGTTTCGGATCCATAAGCCGACTTCCTTGATACTGACGATTTGCTAACGTTGTTTCTATCGTTTCTCTCACTTTGTGCATACAATAGGTTCGTGCGCCTGTTCGAGCGCATCCGACGAAGCGCTGGGAAAATATGGAGCCTACTCTTGAGTACCCGGGTGTGAAACCGCTGAACTGGAGTTCCCTTGGCGAGGATCTTTCACGTCTCCTAAATATCGGCCTCCCCGTGATCGTCGCCAATCCCACACAATTACCCAACGTTCTATTATGTTTTGTGTGCGCCTCAAGTGTCAAACACAACAGCGCTCTATACTGTGCCATGTGCTGTGAGCCGTATCACACGTTTTGCGTACAGATTAAAGAGGTAAGATAATAAGCAACAGTTGTCAATTCCGAATGTCTAGTTAATGGTTTCATGAAGAAAGAATCCTAACTTACACTTTCCTTATCAGTGCTTAAGGTTCTTCTTCGTTTTTTTTTGTTGTTGTTTTGGTGTCGACAGGCGGATAGTGTTAACCCGTTAAGTTGGTTATGCCCAAAATGTCAAGCCTGTACGGGCTGTGGCAAGCGTGATCGCCGCCAGCAGATGCTCAAATGCAGTAACTGTCGACAGGTGCAACACGCCCGATGCGTACAGCCTGGCTATCCAAACGCGCCAAGTAAACGAAAATCTATATGGACTTGTGTCCGATGCATACGCTGCAAGTCGTGTGACACCAACGCTCGAGTGATGTCCGGCTGGAACTTCGATCTGCAACTGTGCGCCGAGTGTGTCTCACTTCGGCAGCGGGGCAATTTCTGTCCGGTCTGTGAACGCTGCTACGAAGCGGACGATTACGACATCGAGATGGTGGAATGCGCTAGGTGCCGTAAGTGGGTGCATGCCGCGTGCGAAAACCTCACACCGGATGAATACCATCTTCTTTCAGTTTTACCAGACAGCGACACGTTTACATGCACTCGCTGCGGTGGCCCCGATCAAGCCGGGCAGAGAAGAGATCTGCTGGCAAAAGCTACCCGAATGCTAAATCACAAATGTGTTCTTGTGCTCAATCGAGTTCATTCGCTGAGTCCGGCCACGATGGCGTTAGCAGGTGGCGTAATGGATAAAGCGTCAAACAACAGCTACCTATCGCTTAAGGCCTTTTGTCGTGATATCCTGCAGGCGGCCTTGCGTGGGGGTGTCGCAATTAAGCCACTCCGTGAAATGCTCCTTAATCTTCTAGGATTCTACTTTCGTGATCTGAACGACATGATTGATCAGCTATTGGTGGTTGTCAGTCCGACGAAGGATGTGATGAGAGGCGGAGACAAAGACTCAAAACCATTATCGTTACCAATCCTTCCGCCAAGTGCTGATCACCACTATGCTCGTTTGGAGGATGGGCAACAACAAGAGATCAAAAAGGAGAATACATTGGTAAATATATATATAAAGATGCTGGTTAATGTGATTTCGTGCGTTTACATTCATGGAACTGTTAAATGCTGAACAATGGAAGTTAGGTATATGTGAAATTAGTTCAGTGTACCTGGTTGATTTTATATTATATATACTTAAAAGACGTATACCATTTAATTTATATTGTGGTTGTTGTTTTTCAGAGCGACTCACTCGAATGTGACCAGTTTCGGGAAGATGGTCGTTTATGTTCATTTTGTGGTTCACGAGGCGACGATGCCGATTGTGCCGGTCGCCTCCTTTATCTCGGCTGTGACTGCTGGGGTCATGCCAACTGTGTTCTCTGGTCAGCTGAGGTATATCAGGATGCCAATGGATTCTTGCATAACGTCTATATGGCAATGGCCCGAGGCCGCTTTCTCAAGTGCGAGCTGTGCTCGGCGAACGGCGCTACGATAGGCTGCTGTGAACGCAACTGCGTCGCTAACTATCATTTCGGCTGTGCACTTCGGGCCGGCGCCGTTTTTTGTCGTGACAAAAGCGTATTCTGTCTCAAGCATTCGCGACTTCAAGGCGGCATCGAGCCTGTTCGACAGGAAGAGCTGCTAGCATGTGAGCGGCCAATGTATGTGGATCAGACCGAGCTGAAAAACAGTTTAGGCCGACATAAAACGTGGAGCCAAGGAGCACGACCAGCATTGGTTCGTGTTTGTATCGGCGGTCTAATCATTGAGGCACTTGGACATATCAAGTTGGCGTCGGACTTCGATCCCGATGTTTTAGTACCGGTTGATTTTCGTTGTCGTCGAGTGTTTTGGAGTGTCGCCAATGCTGCGAAGCGCGCCGAGTACCGTCTATCCACTCGACAGGTCGACCCAAAATGCTTCAACGACCCATTAGCTCACTCGCTAACTGATCACTGCGCTAAACCGATTTCATCAGGTTTTGGTAGGTCCAGGTGGCGTCATATGTCCGTACAGGCATTCTCTAATCTAGGAAAATAACGTATAATAACATGCATACATATATCCTGGGATGTACGATTATACATTTCCTACTTAAATACTCTATTATACAACACCTTTAAAAACATTATTTTTTCATGTTGCAAACACGATTGTTCATTTCACTGTATTCCAGTTTGAGCTGATATTGATTGATTCAATTGGACGTCTTTGTTTTTTATTCAGATGTTGCCGCTTCATCAATGGTGTCGTACGACGCTGAACGCGAGCTCGACACTCGGCTTCTCGAGGAGCTGTCCCGATGCGTCCATTCATCCAACTCGCATATCGACCTTACTGAGTTTCTAGAAAGTGTCACGCGATCTCTTGACCCCGAGTTGGCCAGCGGTCAGCATCAAACCCAAAACCAGTCCCAGCAGCTTCATCAATCTAACCATCTTGTTCATCAGCAGCCACAGCAGCAGCAGCAGCAGCAACAACAACAACAACAACAACAACAACAACAGCAGGACTGTAGTCACCTTCAACAACAGCAGCAGCAGCAGCAACAACAACAGCACGCGCAGGCTCATATTCAACAACAGCATCCAAATCAAACTCAGGTGTCTAGCGATATGTCAAGCGCTGGCGATTCCGCAAGTGATGCTATTTCGATGGGAGTCGACGTAGCCTCACCCTCACATCAAAACACCTGTTCGCTTGAAAACATCGGAGATCCGACTGGAGATGTGTCCAGTCACCAACAACCAAGTCATCTTCTTCATAGTCAACAATCTGAGCTAACGTCAGTCAATAGCTTAGAAAACAACACCGCTGCCTGCCTTTCGCATATGTTAGACCACTCATCGCAGCCTCAGACGCAACACTCTCAGCAGTTGAATCTTGGGGACCACGTGGACCAGGTCTTGCTTGGATCGCCTCATAACTGTGAACAGACACACGCTAGCACTATTACTGTGACCCAGCAGCAACCACCGATGGGTCATCAAGCCCAGCTAAGTTCAACCACTCAACAACCGCAAGCTCATCACTTGAATGGCAATAATCAAGCATCACCTTCGTCTGTAGCTGCAACGACAGTGGCTTCGGCGCAGCAGATGTCGAGTCCATCCCCCCAGCAACCGCAACAGCAATCGACGACTGCTACCTCTGTAACGGCTGTTTCAACAGGTATGGCATCCTCCATGCAGACTCCGATATCGGCTGTGGCTACCACCGACGGAAACCAGCAACATCAACCCCAACATGCGCATGTATCGCAACATTCAGTTCAACAACAACAACAAACCCAAACGTTGCAGCAGCAGCGGCAGCAGCAGCACGACCCAGCCCACTCTGATGCGCTAGCCCAGAGCATAAGTACATCGACCACAGCGGTAACAACTGGTGGCGTGGGAGTTCTGGGCGCTAGTGGGATCGTCTGTCCATCGACAGTTGTTACGAGCGGTGGAGCTGTTGCAGCATCTACAGGTGGAGCCGTTCACCATCACCATCATTTTCATCATGGATGTGCTCACGTACGTCTAGCGCACAGCTGTCTCGGTCATCAGCATCAGCACAACAACGGCAGCGGTAGCAACGGTCCACTTTCAGGTAACTGCGCCCAAGGTGGCGGCAACGGCGAACTGGTTGGCATCAGCTGTGTTAACAATCAACAACAATCAACAGCGACCGCAGCGACGGTGGGCGGAAGTCTCCAGCTCACGGAACAAACGACTGGCACTGTAGCTTCCGCAACGCAGCAACAGCAATCTACAATGGTTCAACAAACAGCACAACCTCAACAACAGCAACAGGCAATGCCTCAGACTGGAGTTACAGCCCAGCAAGGAAACCTTTTAGCAGCTCCCCTTCAGACGTTGTTAAAGAAGCGGGCTGATGGCACCGTGACGATTTCGGTCGAGCAGCTAAACCAGCTCAATAGCCACCTTGTGTCGAATAGTCCATTGCTCAGCCATCCGAGTGCCAAGGCTGCGGCAACGCTAATCAGTGCCACAGCTTTTTCAGGAACTGGTGGAGCTGCCAATACTGCAACGGGAACTACGCTAACAAGTGGTCCCACACATCATGCCGGCGGTGCCACAGCATCTAGTCCTATGCAGGTGTCCGTAAATGGGTTAGCTGCGCCTACTGCGATACCTTCGGCCGGCGGAACTGGTCCTGGTAATGTCTTGTCCCAACACCAGATCCATCATCACCATCACCACCACCATCACCACCTGCATCATCCGACAACGGTGTCGATTCAGCAGCAGTCTACTGCGGGCTCGTCCTCCGTTTCGTCGCTCACAACAACAGCCTCAGCGACAACGACAACGCCAGCTGCTTCCCCACTACTCTCACCGTCGGGCACTGCGGTCCAACTTCTGCAGCAGGCGAACGGTAACCTGACCCTGCTCAGCCCGAACAACAGCCATTTGCATCTTCGCAGTGTCGGTATGAGTGACGTACAAGGGGCTCTGTTAAGTCCTACAGGGCTCGCAGGTGTCCCAGGAGTGGTTGCGAGCCAGCTCGTCAACAAAGTGTCACCTCCTCGGCCGAAAACAATTTTGCCAAAAATGAGCGCCCTTCCGGTGCCTGCGGGGGCTGCTGGGGGTACAGGTGGCACCGCCGCAACTGCGGCGACAGCTACAGGCCAAGTGAAAACTACCACCGTTCCTCTAACAAAAGCGAATTTACTTGCCGCAGCCGCAGCTGCTAGCGGTCCGTCGAGTTTGCTGACATCGCCGACGATGGCACAAGCCCTCGCTCAGAATCCGCTCGCAGCGACACTAAACGTTCAACAGCAGCACACTGCTGCAGGCCTGTCAGTCCCACAGCTTCTTGGGTTGGCCCTCCCGCAGCAGAGTAGCGGAAATAACGCGCCTTGCGAAGTGTACGAAGTACCAGGCGGAACGATCATCATACCGAAGAAGGGCGTCGTCGGTGCAACCACCTCGACGCCAGGCGGGGTTGCCGCGGCCTTGAACCCCCAAGCGGGCGGCCTTAGCTATCTCGGAAGCGTGCCTCTGCTCGGCCAACTAGGACAGTTAGCTGTCGGCAGTCAACCCTGGCCCCTGGCGGCCCCACCAGCACCAACGATTCAGCTGATTCAAACGCCGACTGGTCAACAGGCGGTACTCCTTAATCCGTTTCTGCCTACACCGCTTATCTATCCTCAACTTGCTGTACCACAACCAAACCTTCTGCTGCAGCCACAGGGCGGAACCACGTTAGCGCAGTTGGTAGCCGCTGGTCAACAGGGTGCTCGTGCGGGACTCGTCAACACTCTCGGGGCCCAAGGCGCCCTTCAGATGCTCAATCCGGCACTTATACAGAAGCTTCAGCAGCAGCAACATACTACGGCACAGCATAAAAGCTCACCGACTGGTCAACTGGCGGCGGGCACTACCAAAATATCAGTGACCACAGCTTCAACAACGGTAATATGGTTTGGTCTTGTAAAGTTTTAATGGGGAGGCTTTAACGACGTAAGGGTTATCACGTGACAAATGTGGTATAATAATATATATATTTGTTGCTTGTTTAGATATTCCCTAGAAGCATAGCGAGCATACATATACAGCGAACATATTGAATGTGAGAGAACATGCTATTAATAAGAGTAATTTAACATTTCGGTAACAGTTTATCTAAAATAGATTGAAAATCTATCTAACAGAATGACAGTGTTCGTCCCCCGAGTGGTATGAATAAAAAAATGGCCAATTTTTTTTAGTAATTATCATTGCGTTGATTTGCTTTAAGCCATGATGGGTTTTTGTTTCTCACATATTATAGAACCTCGGCTCACCACTGAGTTTGCGTACAAATCAAACTAGCAGCACGCCAATGCTAGGTACAAGTTCTGCGAGCAGCGGCAGCGGCGGCTCAGGAAGTAATGGGGGACCATCACCATTACCCTGTCTACCTGAGAAAAGCAGTCCATCCGATGTTGTATCGACTACTACGCAAGACATTGCTGAAGACAAGGCATCGCCTCGTATTGGTCATATTGAATTGGGTACGGATGGTGGAAGCAGTCCTGCTCAGGAACAACACCAACAGTCGCAAGATACCACGGCACAGATTAACGTCGGACTCCTCGGAGCGCAAGGCGGCTCCGATGGATTGGGACAAACAGGAAGTGGCGGCCACCTCAGCGGAGGCGGGAGTGCGAGCTCGCAGCCGCATCGGCCTAACTCAATGAACAGCAATAACGACCGCTACCCTGAGCCAGATTCGTCGACGAATGAACTTCCTCTGATCGAGCGGATGGGCACCTGTTCTCCGTTGTCGTTACCGCCGCCGCAGAGTCCATTCTCGTCCTCGCCGTCGCCGTCGTCGTCGCCCTGTGACCAGGAAGACGCCGATGCTGAGAGCATCCTTGCCTTACTACAGAAAGCAGCAAACAAAATCATGGATGCGGGGTTGCAAGTCGAGGTCGCCGACAGTTGCACCGATGACGAGCAGCAAAGTCTATCCGTGCAAATGGACTGTAGCTCACTTAACGCTTCGGCTTCAGTTCCGCCACCTTCAATGCATAACCAGCAGCAACAGCAACATTTGCAGCCGTCACAGCAAGAGCAGAATTCGTCGGATCATCAACATTCTCCAGAGATGCTGCATCTACAGCAGCATCAGCCACAGCAGCTTCAGACACAACAGCAGCAGCAAGTGCAGCAGCACCTTCTGCACCAACAGCAGCAGCAGCAGCAGCAGCAGCAACTCCAGTCCCTGATGATGGACCGAGGTCCGCAGCACAATCTCGTGGGATCACAGCACCATCAGACGCAACCACAGCAGACGCCACAGCATTCCCACCAGCAGCCGAGTCTCCAGTCTCATATTCAACCGCTTCGGCCGCAACAACAACCGGTGATACCACATCAACAAAGCCAGCAGCAGCGACAAGGGCAACTGCAGTTGCACAGCCCTCAGCCACTTGGCGGACAGCAGCAGCACCACCACGAGACAGGTGGCACTGGGTCCCAGGAACAACCACAGCATTTAGTAGGCTCACCACAGAGCTGCCCTAGCAGCATTATGGGCCTCCACAGCAGTCCGCATAGTCATCACGCACAACAGCAGCAGTCGCAGCAGCACCATCCGCAGGTACTTAACCATCATCATCAACACGGTGTCGCGGTTCAGAGTAACAGCGGAAATACGAATACTAATTCGAATCATACGACTACTTCCATAACAACAATTCGTCTTCCAATCGAGTGTGGCTCGGCGGTGTCGGCACAGCATGAACAGCAGCAACAGCAGCAGCAGCTTCAGCAACAAACTCCACAGCAGACACATGAACAGCTTCAATCGCAAATTTCGCTACATGTACCCACATCGCTACCGGGTTCGAGCGTAGTAATTCAACATGGCGTACAAGCACCTGTCGTTGCCCCATCTACTTCGCCTGCCTCCTCGTCACTTTTGGGAGGACCACCGCTCATTAGCGGTGAAGGAACCGGCTTACACCATCAACAACAACAACAACAGCAACAAACGCAACAACTTCAGACTTCTTCATCTCCTGCAGGTACCACTGACTCAGAAATCGTCACTATGTTTCCCGTAGTACCGCCGCCTCCTACCATTACAAAATCGTTACCATCAGGCATAAGTGGCGTGGGCAGCGGCAACAGCGGAAGCGGCGCGCTCACGCAAACTGTATCGCCTCTAACACTGGTCGACGCCCCTCCCTCGGATCGACCCTATCTCATCTATCGGTTGGAAAGCAGTGACGGCGCCTACTCGAACGAGTCGCACAATATAAATGCGCTTTGGCGTGATTTGTTTGAACAGTTGCAGCTGGCAAGAACGGCGGCTAATCTCGACCCGTTACCGATCAATGCTACGGAAATTGACGGGTACGCAATGATGGGGCTGAGGAACGCGCTGGTATGCCATCTCCTCGAGCAGCTACCTGGTGCCGACGAATGTCGCGTTTACGAAGCTAAGTACCATCGGTGGAGGTCGCTATACAAGAACGCGTCGGGGTGCGCGCGCACCGAGGCATTCGACGGCCAACGCTCGGATCACGACATGTTCTCGTGGCTGACATCCTACCATAGACATCCTCCACAGTTTACGTCGGGCAATTCGAGCGGAGGACGTGGCGGTGCTGATCACCATGACATGGCACCGGCCTGCTCAAAACGGCACACGTCACTTGACCTGCCAGACGCCATGAGGTATCGTCACCTCAAGGACACCGCCAAACAAGTGGCAGGCGTTTATCGATCGGGTATTCACGGCAGGGGCCTATATTGCAAAAAGGACATTGCCAAGGGAGAAATGATTATTGGTGAGTAACAAGTGGCTTTTTCGCCGCCCTTTCTACCTTCCGTATCATGCATAGGACAGCGAGCGGCTGTAAAGAGAATTCAAAGACAATAAACACATGAATGACTGGCCAGTTTACTAATTGGGCGACCTTTCATGCCGGCATTTTCAGAGTATTCGGGCGAGGTGATTAGAAGTACGCTGTGCGATCTTCGCGAGAAGTATTACGAGAGTCGCGGTTTAGGTTGCTATATGTTCCGCATGGACAACGATCAAGTAGTGGACGCTACGGTCAAGGGCAATGCTGCTCGATTCATTAATCATTCGTGTGACGTAAGTCGAAAAGTGCCAACCAACTACTACCTAATATATATTCATATTCGACGACAGTGTCGCATACGATCAGCTCCAGAACGTTACGAACTTAACATGAATACTATTTGATATTATCTTCTATAATTTCAGCCCAATTGCTACTCGAAGATGATTACGGTGGACAATAAGAAGCACATCGTGATCTACGCTTTGAGAGAGTGAGTCTGCCCGTATTATATACATCTCTATCGTTATCCACCTCGAAATCTTTGGCAACTATCCACTGCATGCAACTTTTCGGCCGTTACAAGACAGATAATTGTGACCAAGGGCAAACAGGTCATCTGCTAGCTTTTTAAGCTACCAGATATCCGTTTCGATAATAGATCTCTGATGAGCTAGCAAGTAATCGTGTCGATCCAGCAGCGTATTAGTAAAAAAATCTGTCGTCGGCATAACGTACTGAAAGGTCCGCTGTTCGGCTAAAAAAAAACGTAGGACATCATCTATTTTGAACGCATGAGCTGAAATACACGTCCTGAACCGGAGGGTGTCACGTTTGCAGGATGTTTAGAAAATACATCAATTATCACACGTATGATAGCTGATTAGAATGTAGAAGCTTTTAACAGAAAGCTCCATATCATCTTTCAGTTACGGATTTGGCTAACAAAGTTTTCCATATGATCCTTCGGCGCTTTAGGATTCGCTCGGGAGAGGAATTGACGTATGACTACAAATTTCCTATCGAGGACGATAAGCTTCAATGCACTTGCGGGTCGAGGAGGTGCCGGAAGTTCCTCAACTAATCTTATATCAATCCGTACCGCGAGCTGTGGATGAACCGAATGTGCCACTCGAATCGTCATGCGTGCTGGTAAAAGGTCCCCCGCGAACGTGTCAGAAATGAACACGCTGCTCTAGGGTCCCGGAGTGACTATAGCGCCTGCTAGAGCAACAGTCGGTCCACACAACGACAATATAAAGCTATAGCGAATAGTTGAGTAAGAGCTAAAGGGTTGGCATTTGTCAAGCTTCTCATATCTTTTCTTCGCTGTTAAAACAACGATGTTGTCCGAAATGATGGAGACGATTTGCCATAGGGCGGATCGTAAGAAGGGGCAGTGTGTGACAAAGCATTATCATTCGATACATAAACTATTATTATTACGAATAATCAGTTTCCGGTCGATTGTTCCGGGAGACCATCTATCTTCGTTTTACTACTTAGCCGAATCACACATAGAAGACACATTGAGACTGGTTGCGATGTGACAATGTTGTAAATGCAGTTAACGAAAGCTGGAAAGAAATGTTAAAGGAAGCTGGAAAAGTTAGATTACCTTTATGTGACCGTGCAGAAATTCTGGCTATTGCATCGCATCGTCTATAAATTGACCGGTGATTATAGAAGAGATCGGCAACTTAAATTTCACAGTAATTATACACGCGTTTATAAAGATACACCCACGCACATATATGCACACAACTAATCATATACAAAATCGCTACAAAGACTAGATTTAATAGCTGGTTGAAACTACGATGACGGTAGAACACTTGAGATATTGCTCGAATGCCCAGTGAATGGGGGCATAGAGCAGTGTTTTTGACAACCTGTGATGAGACTGCTTGGGAAATACAATACCAGATACTAAGAGAAATGGAGACAACATCACGAGGACAGCTATGATTTTGTATTTTTCTATATATCTGTGAACATAGAAGATATATATATATATATATATATATATATAATCTATATATATTATACTGGATGAAGCATACTCGTTTGTATTCGGAAGAGAAAGAAATACTTGTTGAACAGTGATGAAGATATTGAAAGAAGAATAAAGATCAACTGGGGGATAGAGGTATGTTGGCGGGAACATGGGGCACGCCATAGGTGCGGAGAGCGACCTCGTAGTTAGCACCCCCCCCCCCCTGCAGACGGTAGTGTATGTATGATATGGAAACGAAGGAAGGAAGGAACGAACGAACGAACGAACATACCGGCGACATGACAGATGAAAAGCCCTAATATAATGGTCATAACAAGATAAGTAGATCAGACATATGATTACTTATAGTTCTGTAGATGTAGAAAGTGACACTATGATTATCAGTTATTATGTCTATGACGATATGTGACCTCAAAGGTCGACCTATTTATGTTGAAGTGCACTTTTCCCAGGGAAGAAGACAGGTGAGAAAGAAGATTAGGGAATAGATATATGGCAAGGACGACAATTGATAATTATTATATACATTGTCATTATTGTGATTATGATGATTACTATTGCTATATTATCACTATCACAACAGTGGGAGAACCCTATTATTAAACAACTGGGTGTTGAGCTTCTTGTTGACGTGAATTTGTAAAAATAGTGGGTGACTGAGTCAACGTCGTGTTGTTTTTAGGACACTCACTGCATTGTCTCGTGGCATTCATGTCACAAAATGTTTATACGACACGCTAGATATCAAAGGATTAGCGAGACGGACAAGATTAAGATCATTTGCCTGCAACATCAATTTCAGCATCCTCGCTACTATCTATCAAACAATATTAAAGCAACACCATGTCCACACTCACGATTTTCACCCCATCAGATTGTAACAGGGCATTTCACGAGCCTTCTTGAACCCCGCCCCCGCCCCCGAGGCTCGAGGTGCCATAAAGTGCTCTTACCACTTTTTTGCTGCGATAACTATTTGTTGAAACATTACAAGCGGAAACGTTTGTTTCGTCAGAGTTTATACCCCTCATTTGTCACCTGTTTTTTTTCCAAATATTAGCAACGCGTAGCGTGGCTCTTTCCACCATGCTATGCAAAGCAATTAGTCGAACAACAGCGTATACGGTACGTGAAACAGAAATTATTGTTACTTCTCGCCATAGCAGAAGGGCATACGCGCCCAGCGATAGACTTATCGGCACTTGCATCACTACTAAATGGTAGAGCATTGAGGAACCGTTGATGAATAAAGTCAAACATAGCCTATTTCGTAGGACAGATGTCACACACATCCATACGTAAACATCTGAGCCTTTACCAGATCGATCTGTAGAAAAATTAATATGTTACTTTTCTAATAGCAAAAAATTTCAAACACAAGTGAGATATGAGATATATATAGCTTCGAAAATCTTAGAACCATATTACGAATTCGTGTTGATCATTTTTTTTTCCTCTTTATTATGATTATTACTACGATTTTTTTTACTTTACAATTTCTGCAGTTTATATATATATATATATATATATATATATATATATATATATATATAGTTTTTATGGTATGTACATTCTATATGAAACGGGGGCAATTAAACGTCCTTCCATGGCTCTTTTTGGCATTTTCAGAAGTATGACAGTCGAATGAATAGTCGTACGTCGATATTTGATTGTATAGTGTTTACCTCAATCGATATAATGTCAGTATCGGCTAACATCCATCGACAGACGATGGTGAGAACAGTTACCGAAACTACCTTATTTCATCTTTACTTTATCGTCATTCTGGTACAGAAGATGCCCCCATAATAGTAGTGCATCTAGAACACCTCCACGGATAGACAAATAAACGAAAATACACAAATAAAAACATATGAATGAAGGATATTGGTTTCAAAACACGATT